TGGAGGCGCTGGAGCCCGCCCTGGACGCCGCGCCCACGGACCCCGTGCCCGCTGACCTGCGCGCGGGCATCACACGGAAGAGCCCTGCCCTGTTCATCTACACCTCGGGGACCACCGGTGAGGGCACCCGGCAGCCCTCGCCCCAACCTCTGACCTTTCACCCTGACCTGACCCCAAGCCCGGCCTCCAAAACACAGGCTGCGCTTCCATGGGGACATGTGGCCTGGACTCTGCCCCGAAATGTCATGGGAGGGATCAGGGCCAGAATCTTGCCTTTTGCTAGCGGGCAGCCGCTGAGGCCCTAATGGAGCTCTGGGATTCGACCTCTGAACCCCAAACCCAACCTGACCTCCTTGAACCCCCCGCCCCCATGGAGACCCAGCCCTGCACTCCTCCCACTCTCCACCCCGCAGGGCTCCCGAAGCCGGCCATCCTCACCCACGAGCGGGTGCTGCAGATGAGCAGGATGCTGGCCCTGAGCGGGGTCACCGCTGACGACGTGGTCTACTCGGTCCTGCCCCTGTACCACGCGATGGGCCTGGTCCTCGGGGTGGTCGGCTGCCTGGAGCTCGGTAAGCCCTCCCCTGGGGACGCCTCCTGTCCCCGGGGTGCAGGCTGGGTGTCGGGGTGATAAGGCCTCACAGGTCGCCCAGCACCCTGGGTCCTCACTTGGGAGAAGGAGCAGGGAGCCCCAGGACCCCCCAGGCAGAGGGGCAGGCACCCAGGTGGTTCCCCAGAGCCGTGTTGTGGTCAGGAGGTGACAGCAGCTCTGTGAGGTCACGTGTCAGTGAGGACGCGCTCAGCAAACACTGCTCTGGCTGCCTCCCTGGACACCTGACTAGGAAGTCACCTGGGGCCTTTCCATGGTCATTTTTTTATAAATATATATTTTATTGATTTTTTTACAGAGAGGAAGGGAGAGGGATAGAGAGTTAGAAACACTGATGAGAGAGAATCATCAATCAGCTGCCTCCTGCACACCCTCCACTGGGGATGTGCCCGCAACCAAGGTGCATGCCCTTGACGGGAATTGAACCTGGGGCCCTTCAGGCCGCAGGCTGATGCTCTAGCCACTGAGCCAAAACAGCCACGGCAACTTGAGCTATCAGGATGACGCTCTAACCACCTGAGCTATTCAGTTAGGGCTTAAAAGGTTGTTGGTTTTTTTTTTTTAGATCATGAGCAATTTCAAACATACACAAGAGCAGAGCAAAGCGTTTGATGAAGTCCCCAATGTGCTCACCCAGCCTCCACAATGACCATGTTACCAGTTTTATTTCATATGCACTTCTCTCCTTCCGGATTATTTTAGAACAAATCTATTGTTTGATGAAGTCCCCAATGTGCTCACCCAGCCTTCACAATGACCATGCAGTAGGAATCTCTAACATACAGGGACTTAAGTGAACAGCAACTCCATTATCATCTGATGTGCGCTTCTTGTTCAGATGTCCCCAGTTACCAAATTGTCTTTTTATCGCTAGTCTCCTCATTGGTCTCTGCTCCTCTGTGACCAGTTAGACTGGAAATTCCCTCTAGAACTGTTGGTACATTCAGTTCAACTATTCTTTTGTTCTTTGTTTTGAGAGAGAGAGAGAGAGAGAGAGAGAGGAAATTTGTTGTTCCACTTATTTATGCATTCACTGGTTGATTCTTGTGTGTCCTGACTGAGGCTTCCTCACCCGCAACCTTGGTGTATCTAGGGTGGTGCTCTAACCAGGTGAGCTACCTGGCCAGGGCAAAAATGGTTAGTTATGTTTTTTTGCTCTAACCAAGTCAGCTACCCAGCCAGGGCCTTCAGTTAAATTATTCCTGGCAAGCCCTAGCTGGTTTGGCTCAGTGTGTAGAGTATCAACCTGGGGACCAAAGGGTCCCGGGGTTCAATTCTGGTCAAGGGCCGGTACCTCAGTTGTAGGCTCCTCCCCTTGCCGGGGCCCTACATCGTCGCTGTTTCTGTCTGTCTGTCCCTCTCTCTCTTCCACTCTCTCAAAACCAATGGAAAAAATATCCTCGGGTGAGGGTTAAAAATAAATAATTCTTGGCAGGAACCTGGGGGGTGTCCTTTCCAAGGACCCAGCACCCCTTCTATATGTTACCTCCCTGTCAAAAACACAGCGTCAAAGAAGACATTACTGCTACTAACCAAGCTCACAAGCAATCGTCCTTTTGGGTTCAAGGGATAATTAACCCATGTGAGCATTCTTCCAAACACCCACCCGCTCACTTTTCCATCTACCTATCTACCCACCTATCCATCTGCTCAGCCAAATATTCATAAAGTATTTATCATAATCAAGAACGACTGATGCTCACAGCCCTTACTGAGCCGTGCGCACTGAGTCGGGCACCAAGCTTCCCACACATTCTGGCGGCAGGATCTGAACCCAGGCCCAGCCCGCCTATGCCTGGCTGGACCAGGGACCAGAGAGGAGCCCGGGATCACCCTGTGCTTCAGGGGCCACCGATCAAGGCAGCTTCTCACGGAGGCTGGAAGCAGGGTCTGAACCCGTCCCTCTCCCGCCTCCCAGGAACCACCTGCGTCCTGGCCCCCAAGTTCTCCGCCTCCTGCTTCTGGGACGACTGTCGGCGGCACGGAGTGACCGTGATCCAGTATGTGGGCGAGGTCCTGCGGTACCTGTGCAACGCTCCCCAGGTGAGGCGCCACGGCGAGGTCTCCAGGTGAACACCGTCGGTGTAAAACCGCAGCTGTCACCCTGGGCGGCGTTGACCGGTGGTTAGAGCGTTGGCCCGTGCACTGAAGGGTTGTGGGTTCAATTCCCAGTCAAAGGCACATACATGGGGTTGCAGGTTCAATCCCAGGCACGTGCGGGAGGCAACCAATTACTGTCTCTCTCTCACATCAATATTTCTCTCCCTCCTCTCTCTCTCTCCCCTTCTCTCCCTTCCATTCTCTCTGAAAGGCAATGGAAAAAATATCCTCCTCAGGTAAGGATTAACCAAAAACAAATCAAACAAAAATAATTGCCTGGCTGGCATGGTTCAGTGGTTGAGACTTGACCTATGAACCAGGAGATCACCATTCGATTCCCAGTCAGGGCACATGCCCACTTGCAGAAGGCAGCAGATCCATGATTTTCTCTCATCAGTAATGTTTCTCTCTCTCTCTCTCTCTCTCTCTCTCTCTCTCTCTCTCTCCCTTCTTCTCTGAAATGAATAAAGATATAATTTAAATTGCACCTGTCACACCAGGTAAAGGTCTCAGGTATATTCAGGTACAGGACTCAAGCTAGTCGCTCAGGTAACACATCCCAGACCAGAGCCACGTACAATGATCACCCAATGTCCTGGCTTCTTGGATGAGCCCCTGAGCTGCCTTAAGCAGGTGACTTCACCGCTCCCAGATTTAGGGTCCTTGTGTGGAAATTGTGGGTAACATCTGAGGGGATATTGTGAGAACTAAACGTGCAAAGTGCCTAGAACACAGTGTGGCTCGGGGAAAACCCGTTAGAGGGGCGCAGCCTCATCTGTACAATGAGTTACCCCGGTTACTGTCTCCAGGCAAGGTCCCCTGGTCCCCCCTAGATAAAGCCTCCAGGCAAGTCTCCAGGTAACTGCCCCCGAGTAAGGCCCCTAGTAACCCCCCAAGATGAGGCTTCAAATCACCCCCAGTTACTTGCAGGTAAAGGCCCCTAACTAACGCCTCCAGCTACAAGCTCCAGGCATCTATCTCCACATGAGACCCCAGGTGAGGCCTCCAGTCCCCCTAGGCATCCCTCCAGGTGAGGCCCCCAGGTAGTATCTGCAGGTAACCCTCCACGTACAGATGCCAGATATCGAATCCCAAGTGAGCACCCCTGGTAGGCCCCCTGGGTATATACCTCTCAGGTGACCCCTCAGGTAAGGCCCAGAGATAGATTCCCAGGGAAGGGCCCAGGGCACCTCCTCCTGACCCTCCTTGGGGCATCTCTGCAGCGACCAGAGGACCGGACGCATACCGTCCGCCTGGCGATGGGCAACGGGCTCCGCGCAGACGTGTGGGAGACCTTCCAGCGACGCTTCGGCCCCATTCGGATCTTTGAAGTCTACGGCTCCACGGAAGGCAACGCCGGCTTCGTCAACTACCCCGGGCGCTGCGGGGCCGTGGGCAAGACGAGCTGCCTCCTCCGAGTGAGTGGGTCGGGGTGGCCAGGACCTGGTGGGAGCTCAGCGCCCAGGGCCTCTGACACCCCACCCTCCACGCAGGCGCTGTCCCCCTTCGAGATCGTGCGGTTCGACACGGAGGCTGCGGAGCCTGTGCGGGACAGAGCAGGCTTCTGCGTGCCCGTGGGGCCAGGTACCTGGGGGACCCTCTTGGGAAGCAGGGACCCCGTCTCCTCCGCGGCCCGAGGTCGTGCTGGGCGGTGGTGTCTGCAGCTCTCACCCGACCCTGAGTCCCAGTCGGTTCGACCACTGTCCCGGCCCCCCCTGCCTCTCAGCTTCTCGGTTCTCGTGGGCACCCCGGCCTCAGCCTCTCTCTGCTGAGCCTCCAGGTGCCCGCGGGGCCTGTTCTCTCCGCCTCCCAGGCACCCACCTTCCCCCACCTTCTCCTCGGGTCTTCTCTCCTGGCCACACCCTTTCTATCCGCCACCATTTGTCTCCATCCCTTAACCATCCCTTGTTAGCCTTTTCCTATTTTAAACATATTTTTATTGATTTCAGAGAGGGAAGGAGGGAGGGAAGGAGAGGAACATCAATGATGAGAATCACTGATCCGCTGCCCCCTGCAGGCCCCACACTGGGGATCGAGTCCACAACCCGGGCAGGTGCCCCTCGGGAATCGAACCCTGACCTCCTGGTTCAACCACTGAGCCACGCGGGCCGGGCATCCTTTTCCTATTTGTTTTATTTTATTAATTTAATTTCATCGTATTTTATTTTTTAGTTTTTTTCCTTTTCCCATGTTTAATGGGCTCCCCATGCCACCTTCTCTCTCCCCGTCCGTCCCTCCTTTCCGTCTCCCAGTCCCTGGGTCTGTCTCCCCGATTCCAATCTCCTCGGCTCCATCGCTGGGTGTCTCTCCTCTGAGGGTCCGGGTGGTGGAGTCCACCTTGTTGGACTCTCGGGCGGGGGCCGTGGGCTCCGAGAGCCTGTCCTG